ACCATACCAACTGGGATTTATTCCTGGAATGCAAGGATGATTCAACATATGAAAATCAATCAATGTAATAGAATGAAGGAAAGAAATCACATGAGCATCTCAGTCAATGCAGAAAAAGCACGGCAAAATCCAATATCCTTTCACAATAAAAAAATTAGAGGACTAGGAATACAGCAGTCTCCCTCAATATGATAAAGACCACATGTGAAAACCCACAGCAAATGTCATACTCAATGGTGAAAGATTGAAAGGTTTTCCTTTAAAATCAGGAACAACATAGAATGCCCTCTTTCACCACTGTTATTCAACACAGATTCAGAAGTCCTAATCAGAGCGATTAGGCAAAAAGAAGAAATCACAGGCATTGAAATTGGAAAGGAAGAAGTAAAATTATCTTTATTCATAGATGACATGATCTTACATTTGGAAAACAAATTTGGCAAAATTGAAGTATACAAAATCCACACACAAAAATCAGTTACATCTCTATACACTAACAATAAACGATCCAAAAAGGAAATTAAGAAGAGTTCTAGGGACCAGCAGTTAGCGTAATGGCTATGTTGCTGGACTCCCACGTAGTTGACCGTGGTTCAGGTCTCGCACCTGGTGGCTTAAACTCACTCTGGGTGCGTGTGCATGTGTGCCCAAGATCCCAAGAGGAGAATGGAGGAGAAGGGACCGCGGTGTGGCCATCCCCCTGAGGGGCGGGGAGGGTGATTTCTTGTTTTCTATCTCTCTGTCTCTCTCTCTCTCTTTCTGGCGAGTGCACGTGCCCAATAGCAAAAACCTCTCCAGAAAAAGGAAAAAAAAAGAGTTCTATTTTAAATGATATGAAAAAGAATAAATTATTTATGAATTAACTTCACCAAGAAAGTAAATATTTTTAAAAATAGTTTAAAAATAGTATTTTAAACTACAAAATACTATTGTTGAAATTTAAAAAGACAGAAATAAATGAAATGGCATCCTGTGTTCATAAATTCAAAGACAGTATTATTACAATGTTAATACTACCAAAGAAATCTACAAATTCAGTGAAATCTTTATAAAAATCTAGTGGCATTGTTTGAAGAAGTAGAAAAATTTGGGCCAGTTTGTGGCTTGGTGGTTAAAGTGGCTGGATTTCACATAGCTGGAAGTGTAGTTTGAGTCCTAGATCTGGGAGCTTAAGAAATGTGCCAGGTGCATGTGTGCCCAAAATCCCAAGGAGAGGGAGAGATGGAAGAGAAGGGATGGCAGCATGACCGTTCCCCATAGGGGGAACTTTATTACTTCCCCCCTCTCTCTCCAGCAAATGCACACACCCTCTGGTAAAATTAAAGAAAAAAAAGAAAGAAAAATTCACCCCCCAGATTTATATGGATTCGCAAGGGAACTTGAACAGCCAAAATAATCTTGACAGAAAAGAACAAAGTTGGGAACCAGCAGTTAGCGTAATGGCTATGTCGCTGGACTCCCACATAGTCGACCACGGTTCAAGTCCCGGACCTGGTGGTTTAAACTCACGCCGGGCGTGTGTGCGTGCATGCCCAAGATCCCAAGAGGAGAATAGAGGAGAAGGGATTGAGGCGTGGCCATCCCCCCTGGGGGGTAATTTCTCACTTTCTGTCTCTCTGTCTCTCTCTGTCTGGCGAGCACACACGCTCTATAGCAAACAAACAAACAAACAAAACAACAACAAAAAAACCTCTCCAAAAAGAAAAGAGAAAGAAAGTAAAGAACAAAGTTGGGACCAGTAGGAGGCATAATGGTTTAAGTGTTGGACTCCTACATGGCTGACCATGTTTTGAGTTCCAGACTCGGCAGCTTGTCTTATCACTCTCTCTCTCTTGTATGTGCCCTATAGCAAATGTAATTATAATGCTAAATATTAAATAAATAATTCTTCAGAAAAAATTAAAAAGGGACAAAATTAAAAGACTCATACTGATTTTAAGATTTGCCACAAAGTGGGACCAGCAGTTGGCCTAATGGCTATGTCGCTGGACTCCCATGTAGTCGACCACAGTTTGAGTCCCAGACCTGGAGGCTTAAACTCACGCCGGGTGCATGTGTGTACGTGCCCAAGATCCCAAGAGGAGAATGGAGGAGAAGGGATTGCAGCATGGCCATTTCTCCTGGGTGGTGATTTCTCGCTTTCTGTCTCTCTGTCTCTCTTTGTCTTTCTGGCGAGCACATGCACCCTAGAGCGAAAACCTCTCCAAAAAAAAAAAAAAAAAAAAGATTTGTCACAAAGCTATAATAATCAAAACAGGATGGTACTGGCATAAAGATAGATATATGGACCAATAGAACAAATAGCACATAAATAAACCTTCAGATATATGGTCAAGTGATTTTTAAAAATTTATTTACCTTTTTCCCCCATGAGTAAAAGAAACAGAAAGAGAAAAGGGCACTACAGGATCTCAATGTCATGATCAATCCCCAGCCTTCAGCCAGCCTAGGATCATGGGAAAGTGCATGCCCAGTGTACTCAGTGAGGTCCCTAGATTTGAACCAGGAACCTTTCCAACCCTTCCCAAATTCTTCCTGTGAGATTGCCTCACAGAGCATTGGGCTTTACCACTGTGCCACAGTTTGGCCCCAGTCAAGTGAGTTTTGACAAGGGTGCCAAAACCACATAATGGGAAAAGGATAATCTTTTCAACAAATGGTGCTATGAAACTGAATATCCACATACAAAAGAAGGAAGTGGGGCCATTACCTAATACCCTACATAAAAAATAACTCAGAATAGACTAAAGACCAGGCTGACCAGCGGCATAGTAGTTAAGGAGACTAGATCCCCAACTCTGCAATTTGAGTCCTGGACTAGTGACTTAAGAAGAAGCATGACTGATGTGTATGCATGCATGACCAAAATCCTAAAAGGTGGGAGAAATGGAGGAGACGGGATTTCGCCATGACTATTCTCCATCTGCTTTTTCTCACTCTGTGTCCCTTTTTAACAAGCACACACACTCTCTGGTGAAAAAAATGTGAAAAGGTGGCAGCAACCCCTATCTCCATTAACAGATGAATAGGTAAGATGGACAGACAAAATGTGGTACTACGTATGAGTGAAATACTATTAGCCTTAAAAAGAAGGAAGTTCTTGGACCAGCAGGTAGATCAGTAGTTAAGGCACTGGACACTCCCACATGGCCAACCTCAGTTCAAGTCCCGGACCTGGTGGCTTGCTTTCTTACTTTCCTTCTCTCTCTCTCTCATCAAATTAAAATAAATAAATGAATAAATAAAAATTAAATAATTTTTTGAGAGGTTTTTCGCTATAGGGCGTGTGTGCAGGCCAGACAGACAGAGAGAGACATAGAGACAGAAAGCAAGAAATCACCCCCCAGGGGGGATGGTCACGCCGCAATCCCTTCTCCTCCATTCTCCTCTTGGGATCTTGGGCACGCACGCACACGCGCCCAGCGTGAGATTTAAGCCACCGGGTCCGGGACGTGAGCCGCAGTCCAGCGACATAGCCATTACGCTAACTGCTGGTTCCCAATAATTATTTTTTTAAAAAAGAGAGGAAATTCTGACACCTGCTACAACATGGGTGAACCTTGAGGATCTCATACGAAGAGAAACAAGCCAGTCACAAAATGACAAATGATCTATGATCCCACCTAGATAAGGTACTTAGTATAGTCTAATTCACAGAGAGAGAAAGGAGAATGGTGGTTGCTCGGGTGGGGCCAGGGGGCATGGGAACTGGTGTATAATGAGATTCAGGTTGTGGTCTGCCCTGTAGGATCTGGCCCCCTTAATCACTAGGCCATGGGGTGGACCTGCTAGTGTGTGACGTATATGGAGCTTCTGTTGGGGATGACGAAAAGGTCCTAGAGATGGATGGTGGTGATGGCTGTAAAATGTGAATGTATTCGATATCAGTGAACTGTACACTTAAGAATAGTTAAGATGATAGCTTTTACATTATGTGTATTTTTCTACAACAAACAGTTGAAAAAATAATAAATTTTCAAAAGCTATTAGACAAACATCTCCAACAGAAAAACAAGCAAAAGATATAGATAGAAAGCCACAGTGGTCCTGCAGCCTACATCTGCATCTTTCTTACTCATTGGCTCAGCCCACCAGTCCTTGATACCTGCTCTCAGGCCCTGGGGACACGCTTGGCCTCAACCCTGTGATGCAGTCCCCAGAGCCTCTAAGGGTGACAGTTCCTTCTGCAACCCTACTGATTTCGCTGCCTGCGTTCTATCCAGAGGGTCCTGAGCTGTGTGCACCTGGCCTCTGAGCCCAGGGCCAGCACCCCAGATAGCTAACCCAGCTGCACCTCATTCGACCCTGACTGCGGCTCTGGGCCACAGGCTCCTTTGGGAACTCCTGCCAGCGTTCAGCCCCTCATCCAAACCAGCACAGTCTGCAGAGTGACCCCAAATGTCTGAGCTCAGGACACCCTCCCCATCCCCAGAGCCTGCTCATACAACCTGGCGTATGTCCATAGCTTTGTTCCCTCTTGGCTGCCAGCCCAGGCTGCTGCTGGGGGCCAGACAAGCAGTGGTGATCAGCCTCAGCTGACCGTTTTTGCACAATTGCAGTTGGCACTCTCCTTGCACCCTGTCACCCCCACTCTCTGCCTCCAGCTGGTCCTGCCTTGCCCCGGGGTCTGTTGCCGCCACCCCAGGTCCCAGTCCAGCAGGTTAGTCTGCCACGCCTTCATCTGCAAATCTCCCCAGCCATGGGAGGGCTTTCCTTCCCCCAAGCCCCTGTCCTTCCAAGGCCCAGGCCTGGAGGATTCACAGTGCTCATCACACAGTGGCATTCCATGAGCAGCTGGTCACTCTGCGGCCAGCCCTCTGAGGCCTGGGGCAGCTCTAATGCTGGCTGGCATACAACTCTTGCACTTTACAGGTATGCAAGCTTCCCTTCCCAACCCTGGTGCTTCCCAGGGGGTGCACCCCAGCCCAAATGCCGTATGACTCCTTCTTCAGGCACTCCTCTCAAATCCCAGGCCTGAGACTGAGAGGGTCCAGGCTTACCTTGGGCAGCGCCAGCTCCTGGTCCAACCCCACATTGATATGGGTCATGAAGTTCAGGCTGATCCCGAACAGGCCCAGAAACAGCAGCAGCTAAGGGGGGACATATGGTGAGAGTCTCCCAGGGTGAGTCCCACCTAGCTGATGAAAACTCTCCTCCCTCTACCCACTCACCACAGCCACACGGGTCACTCGATGCAGCAGGAACGGCGCGTAGACCTTGCGGAAGAAGCGAAGCAGGAGCCCCTCATCTGGGCCAGGTGGGGGCAGCTCCCGGGACTTCACACAGCAGCAGGTGTCTAGCCGGGAGGCCTGTAGCAGGAAGGCAGCCCCTCAAGGTGGCCCCAAGCAGTCCCAGATAATGGTTCCCCCCACCTCTGCCAGGAGTGCCACCATCTTTGGATGACCCGTGTCAGCACTATATTGGCAAGAACTTGTTGCCATGCTATTTTCTTGGCTTTTTCTTTTTTTTTTTTTCAATTTGCCCATGGGCACATGTGCTCACCAGAGAGAAAGGGAAATACAGAAAGAGGACAAAGAAAGCACCCTCCAGTGGGGCGTGGTCATGCCCTAATCCCTTCCCAATTTCCCACTCTATTTCCCACATAACCCCGGGGTATTTTTCAGGCTGCTGGGGCCTGGATTCAAATTGTGCAGCTGGCCATGTGGGATCCAGTTCCCTTAGTTACCAGGCCATGGATCCACCCATCTTTGCTCTTATTTTCTATCTTTTTTAAAAAATTATTTTATTTATTTTAATTTGATCAGAGAGGGACAGAATGAGAGAAAGAGAGAGAGGGAAAGTGAGAAAGCAAGTCACCAGGTCCGGGACTCGAACCACATTTGGTGATGTGGGAGTCCAGCACTCTTAACCACCATGCCACCTGCCAGTCCCCCCCACCTTTTATTTTTTTAATTACTTCTTATTTTCTATCTTGACAAAATATCTTTGAATTGTACCCTTCTGTCAACCCCTCACTTATGTTTTATTTTAAGACCCCAACATTACAAGATTAAATTATTTTTCTATGGGAAATTGGGGGATATGCAGCCCAAATATCACCCTGCCAATAAACCTCCACCCCACTATCCAGGCCGCCTCCATGGCAGAGAGGTCACCCCCACTCTGCTCAACAGCCCCACCTCCTGCCTCTTGCTGTCCAGGGAGAGTAGGGCCACGAAGGCTGACATCTGCAGTAGGAAGTCTAGGATCACTGCAAGGCCAGAGGTCAGGGCGAAGGTTCGCACAGCAGGCATGGGGGTCAGGGCCCCTGTGGGGGCAGAGGCTGTCAGAGTGCCTGCAGAGGCAGAGTGTGGGGAGGGCCTTCCCCAACCCTGCACTCACCTAGGAAGAAGCAGACAGCCTCTGAGAGGCTGCACAGCAGCATGCTGGGGGCCACCCTGCCCAGGGCTCGGCCAACGTGGGCCTCCCGCTGCTCCCCGGGCCTCCGAGGCAGCCTCTGTGTGAGACAGTAGGGAGAGTTCAGAGTCCGCCAAGGGCAGTTCCCTCCAAAGCCAGCAGGATGCTGGACGTGCCCAAAGACTCGGCCTAGACTAGGCCTCAGGACCTGCCTGCCCTTTCTGAGTCAAGAGCCAGCCCTGTTCACTCTCTCCACCACCTTGCTTCCTGCTTCCAGGGAGAAATACTCAGTGGTCTGGGGTGTCTAGGTATCCTGGTGCCAACCATTGCCAGGAGATGGGAGGGGTTAAATAAATGGTGATCTGTTCCTACCACAGAACACGACATAGCATTACAAAGGCAGTCATGGCTCGAGCCTGCTGGCCTGGAAAGCTTTCAGCTCAGAAAAGCAGGCCCCATGACAGTGTAGGCTAAGTGCACTGTCAACACGCCCTAATGTCTATAGGCATCACACACAGGTGCCCATGCACAGAAAACCCAGCATGGCAACATGGGGGTCCATCAGGCCTGGGCAGTAGCGCTGGGCTTGGGGGAGGGGTGGACATGCAAAACTCCTCCCTCCTAACCTGGTACTCGAGAACGAAGATGAAGATGTTGTCAGCCCCCACGGCCAGCACCAGGAAAGGCACGACTTGGAGGATGACCAGGGAGGAGGGGACGCCCAGGTAGGAGAAGAAGCCCATGGCGGCCATGACTGCTCCCAGCACCACAGCCACACCTCCCAGGCCCAGAGTGGCCTTGGAGTCCACCTGCAACACAACCAGCCTCAGCCTCCTGGCTACCAGGGTACCCTCCTGGTTTGCCCAGGCTGCAGGTAGGTACCCTCCATGCCTGTGAATGTTCCATTAGAAGTCTGAGAAGTCACATCCACAGCCAAGCCCCTCTGAGAGCTGTCTTCCCACGGGCAAGCCACAGACCCCACACTGTGAGTCTGCAGTGTGGGCCTTGAGCATGCATCACCAGACCTCTTCAGTGTCAGCTTTGCACTCAGGCAAGGGGATATGTTGGGAGCACAAGGAGACTTCTCGACTTTTCAACATTGAACACTTCCAGGAAATACTATCCTCTGGGCGTGTCCACAGTGTGGTTTGAGGCACTTGGGTTAGGAGTTTGGAGATGTGGAGGCCCCAGGCCAGCCCTCCTCGCTATGCTCCCACCTCTCACCAGCACCCGGCTCCAGCTGCTATAGTTGCCCAGGGCCAGGGAGATGTACAGGAAGATGACGAGGTAGCTGATGGCGAAGATGGGCAGGTCCTCGGCCGTGGTGCGGTTGATTTCCTCCTCTAGGGAGCTCTGCAGACACACCCGCCAGCCCTCTGATCACTCCGCCCAGCAGGTGCTCTTAAGAGCTCAGTCTCTGGGCACTGACTGCTCACTGGGTCACGGTGCCAGGTGGCTCATACAAGCCCTACTGAGGCCGTTACCCTATCAGTCACTGCCCAGGCCACTCAGGAAAGGCAGGGCTGGGACCCAGGAGCCCATGGGTGCACTCCCCCACACCAGGGACCCCACGGTCCCCACCTCGGCCATGAATGTGACCTGGAACCTGCCGGCAGTCCGACGCTGGAAGGCTCGCATCTCCTCCAAGAAGGCCCCCTCCCAGAGCTTGGCCTGGGCCAATCGGGGGTCCCCGGCAGGATAATTGTTGAGGGAGAAGGTCAGGATCAGGGCCTCTGCCTCAGAGTAGTCCTTTCCTGGGGTAAGAGATGCTCAGCCTCTCCAGTTACACCCTTGCCCTACCTGCCCCCTGCCCACTCCAGCTGCAGCCCTCCACCCTCTTCCCCCCACCCCTCCTCATCCTGGTCCTTCCTCTTCCTCATCCAAGTCATGGCCTCACCCCTACACCCACCTCTCTCTCAGCCAGAGGCAATACCTGGGGCCCAGGCACAAAGCAGAGCACCTGAGCAATGCTGGGAGCAGAGAGACGAAGCGGATGAGAGCAGGGCAGGACAGCAGCAGGAGCTCCCCACTACCCAGGATGTCCGTGCCCTAAGCAGGCAGCTAGAGCCCCATTACCGCTTGCAGCATATGCCTTTTGTCTCTGCCCTAGCCTGGGCCTCTTCTTAGGGCCTGTCCAGCTTACCTTTGTATCCCCCTATGGCCAGGAAAGGGAAGACAGGGGCCCCGTAGTCAGCCATGCAGCTCAGGGCCAGGGCCGTACCATCTTTGAAGGTGAGTGGGGCACTACAGGGAGACACATGGAGGGAAGTGGCCTTTGCTCACCCTGCTTGGTCCCTAAAACCCGCAGTCCCACCTTTCCCAGGTCCACAGCACTCTGGGGTCCTAAACAGCCATCTTCCAATAGGCTACAGTCTTCCTACAGTCCCTCTTCGGAGCAGGCTGGGTTGCCCTGAGAGCATTCTCCGTGCCGGGCAGGGCTGCTCCAAACGCCATCTCTCTGTGGCCCTCATGTCCCCTTGCATCAGCTCAGCTTTCCAGGCCTCATCATTATCTGGTTCCCAGATGAAGAAAGAAGACTAGCATTGCATTGATGATCCACGTGGTGGGGGAGCCCCAGGAGAAGGGGGCACTGGGATTTGAGCTTGTGCAGCCTGGCAAGGGCTGTCTCTCAGGCAGCTCGCCCTACTGCCTCCTCCCACCCAGGCTCCCTAAGTCCTCCCCTCCCAGTATTGAGATCAGATTGGGGGACTAACCCAGGCAGGTCTATGTAACCTTCAACCTGACTCTTTTTACAAAGCACATTGTCATAAAGTGCTCTCTCTCTCTTTTTAAAGTGTATTTCTTTTTTCCATGACAGAGAAAAAGAGAAAGAAAGGAAAGCCCCAGCAGGGTAGGTCTTCACGCTGCAGTCTATCCCTTCTCAGCCAGCTCAGATCACAGCCCATGCCCAAAGAACTTAGGGATGTCCTGGGACATGAACCCAGGACCTTTCCCTTGTAGGCCCAAGGGTATTGGCACTGTGCCTCCACCTGGCCCACCTGGGCAAAGCTCTCTAGGCTGTTCTCAGCTCTGAGTGGGTAAGCATGTCAGCCACAGCTGCTCCTGGGCAGCCAGTTGCCATGTGACGTTCAGCAGCTCGCCATAGCCCCGATCCTCAGTTTTCCTGCGACATGGGGCTAACCAGAACACCTAAGAGTTGTGAGCATCCAAAATCAAAGCAGAAATGACACACGAAGACCACAAGCCTGCAGTCAGACCTGAGTCTGGGGTCAGATCACCAAAGCCTCCCAGAGCAGGCAGAGGCTTCTCTCTGTCCCGCCCTTGCTGAAGGACAGCCCTGGGTTTGCAGCATGACTCTCAAAGCAGTGTAGCTGCAGAACTCAATTGAGGGGCGGGAAGCACTAGCTTTTTTCTAACCCAGTAGTTTTCAAAGTACAGCCTAGGGCTCCCTGAGAGTCCTGGAGTCTTTTTCCAAGGATTGGCATGGTCCAAACTTTTAAAATAGTAATTAGCCATATGGGCTACTTACCCTTTCAACACCTCTTTGCTCTTGACTGCAGGGTATGAAGGGTCCCCCTGAGAACCTCTGCTCTGCTCCAACACCAAGGAGCATCACTGCTGCCCACCCGCCACCCAGCAGCCTCACTGGTATCCTATCTGCACCACACCAGAGTGGATGGAGCTGGGACCAAACCCACGCAGCTTAAGGGTGCATGGATGTGGCCTGCGCCAGGACACCAGGCCCAGCTCAGTCTCTACCCTGGCCCATGGGCACCTGTTGCTATTCACATCTTAGGACCTCATGAGTTATCAATGAACCTACTGGGCCTAGCACAGAGACCAAAAGAAAAAAAAAGTCCCCAAACATGAGCTGGCCCAATCAGATCCCTCCTCAAGACTTAACCAGGAGCAAAAGGTGTCCCTTGCATCAGGAGCCCCATAGAAAGACCAGTGGCATCAAAGGTGAAGGGGTCTCAGGGCTCCAGATGATCTATAGAGGGGAGGAGGGTCTCCAATCAAGAGGCATGGAGAGACCTGGGCAATTGCAACCAAGTGTCCATATGGCCAGAGACAAGGAAACAGCTGCTACAACTCTCCAGACCAGTCCTGCTCCTGGTCTGGTTCCTGGAGGCTAAAGCAGTTCCCCCTCCCACCCAGTCCTCTGCAGCCCCCTTGGTCTCAGGACTCACTTGGCACAGTAGAGAAAGTGGTCCCTCCAGTCAACCTGTTTGGTCTGCCCACCCAGTGTCTGGTTGGCGGTGAGCAGCAGGAGTGAGCGGTTGTTCTGGAAGTACTGCAGGAGGCTGTTGACACAGCAGTCGGCCAGGCTGGCATTGCCCGGACTGAGGGGTGCGTAGCAGATGTCTTGCAGCGAGATGTTGCGCTGCTCCTCTGGCGACCACACCTGCAAGTGCCGCAGCCGCTCCTGCAGCTCCAGCACCTCCAGCAGCAGGTCCTGGGCCAGGATCCCGCTGAAGTTCTTGGACCCCAGCAGCAGCGAGTCATATATGTAGCTGGACCGGTTGGGGGCTGTCAGGATCACCTGGTTGTTCCGGAAGAAGGGGCCAAAATGCTTGTCGTGGAATGCCTTCTCTTTGCGGGCTTGGCTTTTGGGGGCCGACCACAGCTCCACAGGGTCTGTGGTGAGTTCTGTGTAGGCCAGGCCCCCTGCCAAGGCCACCACCACCACAATGGACACTCCCAGGACTGTCCATGGCCATGAGGCCACCCATGTGCCCCAGCTTTGGAAGAACTTGCTGAGGATGGTGTGGGTGGACTGGCTGAGCCTGTCGGAGGGGCTAACACCCACCATGGAATCCACCTTGCTCACGCTTTGGCCAGGGGCCATGCGGAAGTACACAAGGAGGACGCCGAGCAGGACGAAGGCGGAACACAGGATGATAATCAGAGCCAGTCCACCCGGCATCCAGCCCAGGTAGAAGGTGGTGTCCAGTGGCTGGGGGCGGGAGATGACAGGGCAGGACGCTGCACAGTCCTGGCAGGAGCAGGCTGAGGCGCTGTCACCCTGGGACTCATTACAGGGCATGATGGTTGCATCCAGGGGCTGCAGCCCACTCCCCATATCCTGGCCGGGGTCTATCAGGTGGAAGACAATCTCCAGTGGGGCCAGGCCATTCCCCGTGTCTCCCTGGAAGTTGAGCCAGCGCTGGGCATTGCACAGGGCGGAGCCGTACACGCCGCACATGGTGCCCACAGCCAGCGTGGCGGCCGCGGGGATGCGCACGCGGCTACAAGAGTCGTAAGTCTGCTCGGCAAAGCTGCGCCGGTAGAAGGCCTGGTAGGCCACAACGGCAGGCAGCTGGGCTGGCCCCCCCCGAGCCACACGGGTCACGTTGATGAAGAGGCTCTGGTCGGGGCTGCAGGTGTTGTGGCAGTGCAGGGTCACGAAGTTGTCAGCACAGGCTGGGCAGCGCGTCAGCAGGGCCTTGGTGATGGACATGCTGGCTTCCAGCGACACCAGTTGCTTGGAGGAGCAGCAGGCATAGGTTGTGTTAGGGCCAGCATAGAGGCTTGGGCAGATGCGGCGCAGCAGGGTCAGGTGGTTGCCCGTGACATGGACGGCCGGTGTGTTGGATAGGCAGGACACGTTGGACAGTGAGGTGAGGCCCCCAGACAGCTCGGGGTTCTTCCCACACTCATCGTAGAAAGCACAGTAGCCACGCTGGTGGGTGGGCGTGTACAACTCGCCTTGGGCCTGCAGGGCAGAGCAACAACTCACAGGGGCACAGGCAGGCAGTGGGTGGCTAGGGGACAGAAGTAGAAAGGACGCAGCAGGGTGGTAGAGACTCCCTCAGGTGTCTAGGTGACAGTGGGCAACAAGCCAGGCTCTCCTCCTGAGGGTGGCAGGTTCACTAAAGAGAAGGTCATGCTGGAGGGGTGAGGGCACAGGAGGAGGCAGGGGTGGCCCCAAGGTGCCCATGGAGCTGGGTCTGCCCACACTGCAGTCAGTCGACACTCAGCCACACCAATGCCAGGGCCCCTTGCAGAAAGTCTGCAAGGATCACCCCTTCCACAGTACCTGCACGGGGCCAAAGCTGGTGCCCACCCAGACTTGGGAGCCAGTGAGAGTCTTGAGGCAAGAGCCCCGACACCCTTAGCCCCCTGGGTTGCCCACTGAGAACCCACTCAGCACCTCCTGACTCATTCTTCCCCCCGGCAGTCAGGACGAGAGACTTGAAGCACCCAGGCTGGCTGCCTCTCCCCAACTCTTATGTCCTCATAACCCCACGCCTGGAAACCCACGCCTGCACCCCTCCTTGGGAGGCCGGGGCGGGGGATCCCTCATGTAATCAGACCAGCCAGCCCTGGGGCCCTCAATGGGACAGGAGTCCTGGAACTTACCATGTGCGGGAGCAGGGCCCAGAGAAGCCAGAACCTCAGGCTGGCCCTGGCCATCCTGGGGTGGGAAAGGGTCAACAGGGAGCAGGGCCAAGCCTCAGGGACAGCCAGGGACAGGACGCACATTAAGGCAACCTCCTCTCCCTCAGTGACAGCCCTGGCCTGACTGGGTTGTGGACCAATGAGCTGAGCCTACTGGTTAATAATTTACCTGTCCCCTGAACTCCCCTGAACTGCCCCCCCCCCCATCCTCTATAAATGAGCCTCCTGGGCCTGGGGTCTCCACCCACTTTCCAAAGCACCCTACACAGGAAGGCCCAGTCGGCTGGAGAGTGGCCTGTGGCTAGCCCCTACACTCGGCCTCCAGCAGAGCTGGTGCCAGGGACCAGAGATGGAGTTGGACCAGGCACTGGCTAGGCTCTGGCCTCAGGGGCTCAGGACTCTGGAGTCTCCACAACCTCCCCCTGGTCCAAAGAGGGGGCAGGCTGGGCCCTCTCCCTGCCCCCTCTTGGTTACTAGACCAGCTGCGGGCTCAGACACACCTTCTGCACTGTCATCCTTAGCAACTGTTGTTAATTAATATTAACAGCGATATCAGGGACAGTTAGGGCGGAATGACGCACAGCCAGAAGTTTCCTCCTGTAGTACCAAGCCGGAGCCTTTGGCTCAGAGTCTGACCTTGGACAGAGAGTCCAGATGGCAGAGACCCTCCTGCATTCACCTTGGCCCTCTTGCCTCCTCAAGCTCCCCAGGGAGAGGTAGTGTGGCTGGGACCCTGCAGGAGCCCTGCCCTACCTGGACCCAAGGGCACTATGCACACCGTTTACTCCCTCCCAGTAGGACTCTCCGAGGCCTCCCTTGGGCTCCCACTATCACTAGAATGGGCCACGACCTTGGCCCTCCTCAAGGCTGAGAGATAAGGGCAGGCTGTTGGGGAACATCCCGCATGTGGCCACCTGCCTGAGACAGCTGGGGGGAGGGACCTGCTCCTACCACCAGCCCACTGTCTACACCGTCCCAGGCCGGGGCGGGGGATCCCTCATGTAATCAGACCAGCCAGCCCTGGGGCCCTCAATGGGACAGGAGTCCTGGAACTTACCATGTGCGGGAGCAGGGCCCAGAGAAGCCAGAACCTCAGGCTGGCCCTGGCCATCCTGGGGTGGGAAAGGGTCAACAGGGAGCAGGGCCAAGCCTCAGGGACAGCCAGGGACAGGACGCACATTAAGGCAACCTCCTCTCCCTCAGTGACAGCCCTGGCCTGACTGGGTTGTGGACCAATGAGCTGAGCCTACTGGTTAATAATTTACCTGTCCCCTGAACTCCCCTGAACTGCCCCCCCCCACCATCCTCTATAAATGAGCCTCCTGGGCCTGGGGTCTCCACCCACTTTCCAAAGCACCCTACACAGGAAGGCCCAGTCGGCTGGAGAGTGGCCTGTGGCTAGCCCCTACACTCGGCCTCCAGCAGAGCTGGTGCCAGGGACCAGAGATGGAGTTGGACCAGGCACTGGCTAGGCTCTGGCCTCAGGGGCTCAGGACTCTGGAGTCTCCACAACCTCCCCCTGGTCCAAAGAGGGGGCAGGCTGGGCCCTCTCCCTGCCCCCTCTTGGTTACTAGACCAGCTGCGGGCTCAGACACACCTTCTGCACTGTCATCCTTAGCAACTGTTGTTAATTAATATTAACAGCGATATCAGGGACAGTTAGGGCGGAATGACGCACAGCCAGAAGTTTCCTCCTGTAGTACCAAGCCGGAGCCTTTGGCTCAGAGTCTGACCTTGGACAGAGAGTCCAGATGGCAGAGACCCTCCTGCATTCACCTTGGCCCTCTTGCCTCCTCAAGCTCCCCAGGGAGAGGTAGTGTGGCTGGGACCCTGCAGGAGCCCTGCCCTACCTGGACCCAAGGGCACTATGCACACCGTTTACTCCCTCCCAGTAGGACTCTCCGAGGCCTCCCTTGGGCTCCCACTATCACTAGAATGGGCCACGACCTTGGCCCTCCTCAAGGCTGAGAGATAAGGGCAGGCTGTTGGGGAACATCCCGCATGTGGCCACCTGCCTGAGACAGCTGGGGGGAGGGACCTGCTCCTACCACCAGCCCACTGTCTACCCTGTCCCATGGACCCTGGCCTCTGAGGGGAGGCACCCAGGCTCAGCAGGACAAGACAGAGGCCAGGGGAAGGTGCCAGGGCAGGGCCTGGCTGACCCCTAAGCCCTTGAGACAGCCATGGTACAAGGGACAGAGGGTAAGCAAGCATCACCAGGAGCTCCCTCTCCCTAGCTGACAGGTACAAGACCCCACTGCCACAAAGCTGGCCTCACTGTCTGTCCTGCACGTTGTCGTTCAGAGCAGGTCATCAGGTCCTGAAACAGGACCTCAGTGCAAATCACTTACTTGGGAGGCAACTCCAGATAACAGCAGTAGGTGAGTAGGAATGGGGCAGGCCCTAGTGGCTCCTGCCTAGGGATCTCCTGCAGTGGTGCGGACTCCCTGAGGGTCTCCAAAGAAGGAGGACATGGCACTTCTCCAGTCCTTCCGTATAGCAGGGAATGGGACCTTGTAGCTAGATGTCACAGCTGGCATGGCTTGAGGACTATGGGACCCAAAACTAGAGAGCCAAAGTGCCAGGATCCACTCCAGTGGACTCTGGGCCCACTCATCTTTCGTGTATTTGTTATTTAGACCCTGGGCCAGCAGGTATTGTGGTAGTTAGGGTCTGGATCTTAAATGGCCAATTCCACAGTTCAATTCCCAGACCTAGCAGCTTGAAAAACACACTAAGGGGCGTAGAGGTTAAGGCGCTGGACACTCCCATGTGGCCGACCACAGTTTGAGTCCTGGACCTGGTGGCTTGCTTTCTCACTTTCCTTCTCTCTCTCTTTGTCGCTCTCTAGTCAAATTAAAATAAATAAATGAATAAATAAAATTAAAATATAATTTAATAAAAGAAAACACACACACACACACACACACACACTAAGCATGTGTGCACGTGTGCCCAAATCCTGTGAAGAGAATGGAGAAGGAACTGCAGTGGCTATCTCCCTGGGGTAATTTCTCACTTTCTCTCTATCTCTGTCCAGCAACCACATGCACCTTATAGCACAAAACTTTTTATTTTGGAGAGATTTTTGCTATAGGGCATGTGTGCTCACCAGGAAGACAGAAGAGACAGAGAGACAGAAAGCGAGAAATCACCCACCGGGGGGATGATCATGCACAGTCCCTTCTCCTCCATTCTCCGCTGGGATCTTGGGCACACACACACATGCACCTGGCATGAGTTTAAACCACTGGATCTGGGACTTGAACCACAGTTGACTACATGGGAGTCTAGCAACATAGCCATTACGGCAACTGCTGGTCCCAATATAGCAGAAAACTTTAAAAAGAAAAAATAGAGGCCCAGCCTGCACCACACTGAAAGGCTAGAGCTACATGGAGACCAGGATTCAGATCCCAGGTCAGTCTGACAACCATGGAGGTGTCAGTGTCTCTCTCATGAAAGAATAAAATAGACTTTTCAAAAGTAGAATTTCACCACATCTCACTGCTCATGCACATGCCCCTCTCAGGCCTGGCACACATAAAGCCATGATCATGGGACACACACACACACACACACACAGAGACGTGTGCCCTTCGTTTCAACTCTTAACGTAAACACTCCCATTGCTTTTGGCCTCTGGCTGGCACGTCTGTCTCTGGATGATAGCCAAAGTGGTGGGCCTCCCACTCTGCTGTGCTGTTGAGCTGGTTCCAATATTCATTATCTTAAGTTGCTGGTTACGTTCTTTGTGTCTAATGAAGTTTCCTTTTTGTTTTTTCTTTCTGAATTTATCTCCTTAAAACAAGTTCCTGGGACTGGCAGGTTGCGTGGTGGTTTAGGGCACTGGACTCCCACATGGCCAACTGTGATTTGAGTCCCAGACCTGGCGGCTTCCTTTCTCACTTTCCTTTTCTCTTTCTCTCACTGTCCTTCTCTGGTCAATAAATTTATTTATTTATTTATTCATTCACTCATTTATTTAAATAAATAAATTTAAAGGTTTGTTTTTGTTTGTTTGTTTGTTTGTTTAAATTCCTAGTGAAGAGGCCTGTGAGTCAGAGTACAATGTGTGTGACTCCCTCGTTCATAGCTCACCATTCCTTCCTCAGGCACGGCTACGATTCATCAGATCAGAATGAATCAGATTCTCAGTTACTGGTATCTGGCTCAGGACTGACACCTGCCCTGGATAACAGATACACAAATTCCTCAAGGGCTGCGACTCACGCAAGCTCCATGTCACCTGCATTCCGTGTTGCATTTGCTGTTGGGCTTTACTAATTGTAAAACCATACCTCATTTTATCTTACCTTTCTCTCCAGAGCAGGACCTAGAGTTCCAAGCCACTGTATCCACAGGCTACGGGGGGGGCGCCCCTCA